CGCGGGCGGGGGCGGTGGGTGGGGGGGGGTGGGTGCAACATTTCTACCCTATACACTTCAACACTCCTTTCAGATCGTGTTTCACAAAAGGTTTGTGAGCCTCTTGTACGTCTTATCAAATTGTCGTAAGTTTTTCAAGGGCTTATACCAATTTAATAGAAGCTTTAAGGGTATATTAAATTGGCATAAACTCTTGGAGAGTTGATGAGATCGGCATAAACTTTAAAAAAGATTACAAAAGTTCGATGAGGAATTTATTAGACTAATAAACTCTTTCGTGGGATTAATTATTGTACCTTTTTTAGTGTCCAATTGTATGATGAAAATTAACAATAACAGGCATTCTTTTGTTAAGACAATATAAAAAACAATGCTTTCTATGTCATCATTACGTCATCATTACGTCATCATTAGTGTTTACGATCTAAAATATACACAATTGTTATTTTCTTTTTTTTTCTTTTTCGTCCTCAACACGGCAAAAACGTCATTATCCTATCTCTTTTTTGCCGTATTCAGAACAACAAAATAAGAGTAAAAATAATAATAATTGCATATATCTTAGATTGTAAACACTAATTTTGGTATCTTGTTGACATCGAAAACTTTGCTTCTTTATATTGCCTTAATAAAGGAATGCCTATTGTTGGTAATCTACTTCATATAATTTTTATCATTTGTTAACTATTTCTCGACAACGACCAATGTATCATTTACACTATTCATGAAGAGACTACTCTTTCGAAAGACATACCTTTGCTCGTTATAATCCCGCAAAAATTTTGTTTGTGCACAACTAAAGTAACACTGTAATTTATCGATGTCGCACGCTGATTGAAAGAATACACTTGTTTTGCATATGTATATATACGTCGTACAATGAGCTTAGCTGAGTGCATTCAAGCGTTAACTGCATACTATGCTTATATTCGAAAGTATTACTTTCATTTTGCTTGTTCTATGCTCCTCATAAATCGTCCTCATTCATATTAGTATACAGCCAATCCAAAAATAACAAATCTGTGCACGATATTTTTCGTATTCAGTACGTTTTTTTCGCCGTCGTCAAACAGCATGAAGTAAACATCGGGAATCATTGCACATGTTATGTAGGTAGATATAGCGTTGTCATCTATATCTTCGTTTGTATAGCTGCTCCCAGTATCCAATCCAGATTTAATCGTGGTCTTAATACACGTCCTGACTTCAGAAACTGTCTTGGTACCTTTCCCAAATGCAGTGATTGTCGCACCTATCGTCACAACTTCAATCATAGTATTAGTACGAGTCCTTGTTTTATTTATGGTCCTGGTACCTATACCGATTTCATTAACAGCTCTGGCACATGTTTGACTTCATTCAGAGTTTCAGCTGGATTGATAATACAGATATCTGTCCAGTATTCAGTGCCGGTTTCAGCAATGATTCACGCATCGGTAGCAGTCTTTACGTGATCAGCTCTTTGATTGAGAATCCAGCTAGTCGTACCAGCCTCATTGACAGTCTCATAAGTCATGTAGCTTCTGGAATGGTCCCGCCATACATACCAATTTCACTAACTTCCTCTTCTCCATACAGGTTACATTGATGGTCCAGAAGTCATTTCAGCTTCAGAAACGATCCCAATATCCATAATGCTTTCATTCAGGACTTCAGCATCTGTTCCAGCTTCATTGGCAGTTGCGATACTCTTCTATTACTTAATTTCACTTCCGACGCTGCACCTAGCTTTACTGACAGTTCCAATTCTAAACCTGATGCTAGTAAGACTCCTGTAACACGTAACGGCTTCCTTTATGGCTCCGCACCTTGCCAGATTCCATCGAGAGTTGCGGTATTCGTAACGGATTTACTGGTGGTCCCAGCATGCCACTCGCCTTTAGTGATGTCTCTCGGTATTCGTTAAGCTAGCTGTGATGATTCCGCACCCCTTCAGATTCGATTGATGGCCTGAAAGCCATGTTGCCTTGTGAAACTGTTTCAGTACTAGTGCTGATTTCATTCACGAATTGCGCCTCACTATGTATTTCACTAACAGTTTTGACACATATTCCTGCAACGGGCTGAATTCTTGGACAATTCCAGCCTCTTGTCTGTCTTCTTAGATGGTTCCCGCATTCATAACGATTTGATGAACAGATGCTGCACCCGCTCAGATTTCATTACCGGCGCCAGCTCAGGTCACAGCTTGTGAAACGGTCCTACTACACAAAGCTGTTTGATTAACAGTCTCTTCGCCGCTCCAAGTTTCATTGATGATGATACTGCTATTCGTAGATCCAATAATGATCCTGGAACTAATGTCTGCGCCAGAGTTAAAGAATGGTGGGTGTAAATTGAATAAATCAACAACGGCAAGAGCTAGCAACCTGTGGTTTTCACCAATAGAAAGAGGAAACTGGGAGACGTATTTTTTCATGATATTGTTTCGGACAAACTGTTTTAGACATTGTTATTTCTGGAAATCTTTTCTGAGAACACGTACAGATGGTATGCCTATATAATGAACTTTTATTTTGATATTCTCATTAGATAGAGGGACTTCAGATCTATAGGTCAAGATACAATGCACTTTCTTACGTTTCATTACATTTTCATCGAAATGTCAAAGTATTATGATAAAAAGTCCGAAAACTTAGTCAAAAATCAGCAAAATTCCCTATTATCTGCATATGTAAATGCATGATTCTATTTACTCAACGTCAGAATGTAATAACAGAACCATTTGCATTGTATTTTAAACTATAGAACTGAAGTCCCTCTATCGAATGAGAATATCAAAATAAAAATTCCTTGTATTGGCATACCATCTGTACGTGTTCTCAGAAAAGATTTCCAGAAGTAACAGTTTCCAAAACAGTTTTGTCCGAAACAATATCGTGAAAAAATACGTCCCCCAGTCTCCTCTTTCGATTGGTAAAAACTACAGGTCACTAGTTCTTACCGTTGTTGAGTTATTCAATTTACACCTACCCCTCTTTAATTCTGGCGCAGACATTAGTGCCCTGCGGGAATAACTTTTCTCGATTCCCGTTTACCGTTCCCATTTCCGCTCTCGTAAGACTTTCAGAATTGTTCCTATTTCGATTTCATCTTTCGTGTTTCGAAAAACTATCATTATCTGATACTATTTTCTCGCGACATCATGCTTTTCACAATGTAACACGGCGTAAATTAAAAATAAATTTGGGATTGGGCGTTGATCTGACAAATGATATAACTGAGGTTTTCTATTTTAAAAAGTTTCATTTTGATTTATTTTTTTAATATTAATTTGCTGAATTTTATCTACATTCATTTTAGTGAATATTGTCTATATAAACTCAATAAATATTGACTACAATTATTTTTTGGTGAATTTTATCTATATTAGTTTGGTGAATCTTAACAATATTCAATTTCACAAATGTCTCCAACAAATTCCACAAAATCAACGTTATCAAAAGCTGAAAACCAAGATTTAGTTATCCTTTACTGTCACAAGCAGTCTCTTTTATCAACAGACGTACGTACAAAATTGTTGTGACACACGTTTTAATGGTGTTTATTTAATGTTTGATTCTTTTTGGGAAGTTTATTATGAATTATTAACAATTCTAAATGGTAAACACAAAACAAAATTATTTAAAAATAGATCATGATGTATAAAATTATTATGTTTATACTTAAAAACCTTCTTATGATATTATAAAAAAAATTAAATTGTGAAGAAACACCAACATTGCATCTTGTGATACCTCACAAACAGTTTTTGATTAATTTATTGAGTATTACCAACGATAATAATCAAATGATATCATCTTCAAAAAAAGTACATTGGAAAACAATTGGAAGATTATTGCATTGTTGATGACGTTCATTACATAGCAATTATGTTGCATGGAAATCTGAAAAGTTTTAATCCTACGCCACAAAGAAAAATATCAAACAGAAGCATTATTAGCAATCGAACATGATAAATATCAACAACTTGAACAATAACAATTATCGTCGAAGAATAATAATAAAATGAAACAAATTTAACAAAAGAAGAAAACACAATAATGAACATCATGAGACGATATATTTCATTCATCAACACCATAAGATGAATTACAAGATGATAAAGAAATAAAAACTGAGTTTGACAGATATATTGAAGATGGAAAAAAATAGACAAAGATATGAATGTTTCAATATATTGAAATACTAATAAATCATTATATTCTACATTGGCTACAGTTGCTCAACGTGTGCTATCTATTCCTGCAACTAATACATGTGCAGAACGTATTTTTTTGGACAGTGAAAATACAATAAAAAGTTGTCGTAGACGTTTCGAAATAAGTAAAGTAAATCAATTATTATTTATGCATCGAAATCTATCAACATTACGAGAATTATTTCCACCATCAGTTGAACAAATAAAAATAGAAAAAATAGTTGCACTTCAACAACACCAATGAAAACCTAAAACATTTCCAAGGAGCACATGCTGATATTACGATCTTGCAAGATAATCTTGATAATAGCAATTTTGATGATAAAGAAATTGATGGTTGTGATAAATTAATTATGATTTAATGAACAATAAATGAACTTGTCTACTATTTTTTGATATATATTTATTATTTTTTTGTCAGTTATTTACCAAAATAGTTATTGAAAATGAAAGGCTGTTACATGAACGCATATTAATGCACATAAAAATAAGACAAAATGACTTTTAGGAATGTTAATTTTAATATTTGTTCCCATTTTCATGTTCCTGGTCCCCAAATCTCCACGCGAATTCCCGTTCTCGCAGGACTCTATTCGGCATTTATTCGATATCATTGATCGTTCTGGCAATCGTACCGACTACACTGATAGTTCCACTAACTCTTTCGATTTCATTAGCAGTCCCGGAATTTTGCCTCGATTGTGAGACGGTTCGATTCCCCATGACCATTGTGCTGATGATCACTGCATCACTCGATCTTACATCGACGATTCCCAGAAGCAATTAACAATTCACTGAGGATCCCGAGAACTATCTGGCTTTTAGTGACGACTCCCTCGACTCGTCGAAATTCAGTAACGATCAACACCTGTCCGTGTTTCAGCGGTGTTAATGTGAGCATGGTTTCGGACAAAAGACAGCCGAGACTTACACTCATTATAGTTGAAATAATATGAGACGAAGGACAATACTCAGGGCAAATATCTAGATATCTAGCAAAGTTTGATCTTCTCTCTCCTATGTTATCTAAACGCTCTTTTCAATAGATTCATATAAAAGTAAATTTTATAGTAATTGTATGAAGGATTTCTTACTGAGCCAGAATCTTCTATTTTAAATTTTAGATCTTATTTTTCACGAAGATCTTCTATTATCTGGAGGGGGAGTATTATCGTAAAATGACTGAGAACGAAGCGAAATAGAAACTGTCGAGCTTGTCAAAAGTTGTGGGATTGCTTTTTTTAAAATACCATATCTCGACAAAAAACCATATACGTATTGGGTCTTTAATTTCGACTGAATGGTTTTATTGACAAAGACTATCAAATGCGCATAACAAAGCTGAAATTTGAAATCAGACTATGTTTTCTGAATTTCCGATCATCATACGGACCATCTCTTAAGCTTAGCATTGCCTTAGTCTATATCCATTCAAGTATGATAATCTGACTATAAATGCCTTCACAAGGCAAAAATTTGATTCCATTTAAAAATTTAAACATGGCAAGGAAAAGTTGTAGTAGATATTTTTTTTTAAATTTGATATTGAATTGAAATAATATTTAATAAATATGAGCATAATTAGAGTAGACCTCAGAATATGATCATCAACTTACTTGCTTGACAATGAAATAGTTAGTGTCTTCATTATCACTATTGTGATATGGAGCATTTTGCTGACTAACTTTTATCAATGCAGAAAAATAATGTACTTTACTCTAGATCTATGATCTAGCATTATTACTTAATTTCATGTTTATAAGAAAGTTGTAATTGAGGTTCAGCATTTCAAATATTAATGTGAGCCTTTCGTTGTGGGAAAGAATATTAAAATGTTCTATCTCTCTATATCACTTAGACTAAATTATATAAACTTCAGAGGTCTTGTCTGCCGCAGAAAACGAAAGGTAAATCAAAGGGGAAAAAACAACAACAGAGAAGAGAAGAGCAAAGAGAGAGCATTAAAAACGATGAGAAAAATCAATACTGAAGAAAATAGAAAAGTGAGCTCCATCGAGTAATAGCTATTAACACTAGTATGTTTCACAATTATCTCAGGTATTTCACTTCTTCATCTATACTATGAATCCATGAGTTGGAAGGATCAACCAACATACGCACTCAAGCATAACGAGTCACTAAGCGAATTTGTGGTCATTGACAGTCTTGAATGTTATTCTCACAAACTCTAAAACTACTGATGCTTATTCATTGAGACTTTATCATGATCTTTTGAGCAATCAATCGAAAAGCTACTACTAATGGATCAATAAACTTATAGTCTTACAAGAGAAAATATCCAAGTGTGACGCACTGTTTTGAATCGGATTTAAATCAGTTTGTGGAGCTTGACGAACTGATTCTGGTGGTATACAGTCTTATTTTTCATAGGACTTTTAACTAGACCGCATCAATTAATTCTATTCGTGGAAGATCACATTCGAGACACTGAACAATGAAGTTTTACATACATTAGCATGTGAGGAATGTAACTTTATAATTGACTGTCTTACTTTTTGTTGTACATTGTCACTTCATAGACTAAAAGCTGCCCAACAATGTCTTAATCTGTATGTTGCAATGTTGCTATCACTACACATATGCATTATCTACGTATTATGCTATGAAAGACATTAATAATTCTGTGCAAACATTATGGTTCGAATACTTCTTTATTGTTTACCACTGTCATTTATTCTATGTTGGATTTCTCGAAGTAAAACGTATCCAAAAACAAGCAGATTCCTGTTCGCAAACTCAGATTATAACAGCCAAGAAGGTTTAAGCTACAGATGTATAAAATAATGCTCTCTCAGAATTATTGATGTCTTTAATAGCATAATACGTAAATAATGCATATGTATAGTGATAGCAACATTGTAACATAAAGATTAAGACATTGCTGGGTAGCTTTTAACCTATGAAGTGACAATGTATAACAAAAAGTAAGACAGCCAGTGATAAAGTACTTGTAGTTTTAAGTACTGTTTTTATGGATTTTGAGGCTTCGTCAACATTGTGGTTATTGAGCGAACATGTTTTTTTCTAAGAATGAAAGAAAATTTTGTAGCAAATGATTATTTGCCATCCAGTGTCGTTTTCTTCTTCTTTCATAGATTGTGTCAATGGTTTTGCAGTCACGTGATTTTTTGTGATACTTTCATTATAAATGAGTCATAACCAGAAGGCAACTATACTTTGAATTGATTATGAGATTTCGAAAAGATCTACACTGACCCTCATTCAGATACATAGAAGAGTGTGCAGTGAAAATTCTAGAAACTATGATAACAGTAATGCCGATTATGTTTTCTCAATCTCGAAAGCTACTTGTCAAAAGAAATTGTCCTTGAACTTTATCAGTTCTTATAGACTAATTCACAGCGCTTCTCTTCATAAAACCAACAGACATGGCGTTCAGAATATAACTAGTGAAATAGACGAAAGTTAAAACCCACTCAACATTCTTGTGTTATTTAATATCATCAATAGCCCGCAAGCATACAAAACAATGTGCTGTATCATCACATGGCTTTTTTTTTCTTTCTTATTTCTCACCTGACAATGTATTACGACTGTGTTTTTCATTGATGCAGTTTGCATTTTTCTTGCCGAGTTGAGTGATTATTTATTTGCTTATCCAACCATTTCAATATGCAATCAGCGAAAAAAACGAAATAATATGCATCACATGAGCAAACCATCTATTAGTGGAAAAAAGACGCTTGTTTCGTATGAAAGATTGTTATGCGAAACGCTATCGAGATGGGTTTTTTTTTTATTTTTTTCGATTTTTTCAATTCGCTGAATCTTTTTTTCTTTAATATATACTCTAAAAATACGATATTTTTCATCGGGTTAATTGAAAGAATTAGGTCTTAAATATCATTTGAAAAATGTCTCTGACTTGTTGTCCTTATAGATAGGTATCTACTTGTAATTGTCCTGGCAACAACGTTCTTCAGAGTGAATGCCCTTGATACATGATCGCTCGAATGAAAATGTCTTGTACTCTAAATTGTTAATTTTTACATATCCTAGCAGTGAAACATGAAGTCAAGATGTGGATCGTCTCTTAATCTCCATCTACTCTCAAATTCGTAACTAAAAAATTATATTATCGGTTAGCATTATCATCAAAATAACTTACGGTTTACTTCAAGGACATTTGATAGAGAAGAACATCTATTCGAAGAATTATATTAGGAAGCACTATTTCTCAAGGATATTTTTTTTTTCAAGGACGAAATGTTGAAAACATTTTAGACTTGCTAATAATTCGAATACATCTCACTATAAACTGATGTATAGGGAAAGCTATGTTTTTCTAACAGATCTACCCCTAGAAGTATTATTCTGCCGCAACGGTTATTTCAATCAATCTTCTTACCATGATATAATTTTTCAACGGGCCGATTTTTTTCTAGTGGACCTATTCTAAACACAATTAGATCTTACAGTATTCATCAATGGCCTCTTACTTAAAATGACTCAGTTTCTTACTGAATTGATTCTTTTTTTAGTGGTTTTATTCGAGGAAAAATAGAGTTTATCTCTATTGATAATCAATATTGTGAAGTTTTGACAACCAGTCAGTGCTTTGCAAAAAATAGAAGTGTCATACTGAATTTTTTAGGGTTCCAGGTCTGGGTACCATTTTGTGAACCTTTTAAGGTTCTAGCATAATCTGCTTCTGCCTCAAACCTTTCTCTTCTGAGCAAAAAACTGGTTCCACGCGGAGAAAAAGCAGTCTATTTGCCATACATAGTCGAGGTCTGCAAATATAATCAAGGTTTCTTTTGAATTTCCTGATAAACGCAATAATCCAGATTAAAACTTAACCAGGCAGACACGAAGTGCTACGATAGTTCGAAACGAACTTCTACGACCTTATTTATCGCTGTAGTCACTCAGACTTGTCGCAAGTTAAATGATAGAAGACATTCTCTCTCCACCAATGTCGCTGCTTTCAATTCACATGATTCTAAATAAAGATAACAAAAACTTATTTCGTAAGAGAAAATTGAAGATCGAATTGTTAATTGAGGCAAATCTGAACGAATTAAAGGAATTGACTATTTAACAATAAGCTTGTCATTGAATTGATTACTGAAATATGCCTAAATAGAGAATAATATAATTGATTTAGTAAGACAAAACTGAAGCATTATAATAATGATTAACCCACCCATTAATCTGTAATACCCACATCCTATGTCTCGCTTGTCGTCCATTTTTGTGTAC